GCTGGCAAGATACCTCAACCTTCCTTTTTGCTTAAAAAAAACAGACCCGTATTTTGCTGCCAGCTGATTTAGTGCACAGAATATAAACCAAAATCAAACACCAGCATCCAAAATGTGTCCTCTGTGAAGCATAACAACTTGAAAAATGATCTTGGATTGCCAGCATCCCTCAATATTATATATTACCATTCTCTTTGGAAATGTATGTAATATTTAGTCACCTTTAATTCACCTGAACTTTCAACTATACGTATATTCTTTTGCTCCTGTGAGCTTTTGCTTTGTGTTGTAGTTCTCCTTAAATTAGGACTGCAGATGTCCTGCTTTGATCAGCATTTTGTCTGTCTTTGTCACAACTCTCTGCGTAAAACCCAACTTTTGAAATCACTGACCCGTAGCTATCAGAAATAAGTCTCGTAAGGTAGAAATTAAATAATGAGACATTGCACTTAGCTAGCGGGTTGTCTCCCGTTGCCCCAGATTACCTCCGACATGCCAGTGACATGCAGATTAGGGAATGGGTTGATCCAACACTTTAGATTTACCATAGGTATGAAAGTGAAAGTCAGAGGAGACCAATAAGTAGATCGGAATCTACCAGCGGATCACGAAGATAGTGCTGGTAGATCCTGAGCCAATAAAGAAATAATAATAATATTATTATATAATTCTAATGTGTGTAGTAACGAACATATACTGCAAAAATTAAACCATATTGTGTCATACAGCTACATGAATTAATCAGTGATCCAACATATACAGTAAGGTGTATATAGTGTGTTCAGTTAATATGAGTGAATATTTCATGTTTTTCGATGTAGGTAGATCACTATAGCCCGGCCATTTGAATAGTAGCTCCCAAGCCAGAAAAGTGTTAAAATTAAGTAAATTAGAATTTTTTTTTTCATTTGAAAAGTGTTAAAAGTGTATTACTAAAACTGGTGTCTCTCATTGCAGGATATCGAATGCAGATCGGTTCAAGCACTGAGAAAAAGGACTCAGGAAGGATCCACGTGGACTTCGCTCAGGCTAGAGACGACCTGTATGAGTGGGAGTGCAAACAGCGCCTTCTAGCTAGGGAGGAGCGCCATCGATACACGCTCCACGAAGATCACCTACAGGCCCAGTCTCCCCCAGCCTTCATTCACTTTTCTGACCACGAGGCAGCTGTGTTAGCTGAGAAACTTAAGGGTGAGAATTCTGCTTTTTTTTTTTTTTTTTTTAATTTTTTCTTCTTTTTTTTTATTGAGGAATTTTTTTTTTGTAAAAAAACGCCTGAACCTTTAGTGTCTTGGGATACACAATTTGTGTGAACAGTTGTGCCAGAATGCTGTGACACAGCAGTAACTTACTCACCAGTTCTTTTTTTACCTACATTAAAACACAACATGTTTCTGATTCCTTTATTATACCATACAAACTAATATGAATTTGTATGGTATAATAAAACAGTTTACCTTCTCGCCAGGGCCGATATTAGCATATTTTGTAATAGCTATAAGAATTTTTTTTTTCCTCTGATAATGAATACCAGATGGGTTTTGTCAAATGATATGTACTATACAAAGGCGACAGGCAACAATATTACCAGGCGCTCAATAGTATTTTAATTCTGTGTGGGCAACACTTAACTTCCACCAACCCACTATATCGGTATCGGTTCATATCGGTATCGGTATCATTAAGTGTTTGGAGAATATCGGCATATCCGATATCGGCAAAAAGCAACACAATATATGTGTTGTCATATTTTCTATGCTTTGGCTGGGAGGGACTTTTTGCTGATGCTTCATCCTCTGCTTTGCATTTACATGGGACTTCCGTCGACTTGTCCATGTAATGCTAGCATTGCCATTGTCTCTTTAAAGTCCCAGTCCACTTTGGACAATATGCTGCGTTTCCATTTGATTTCCATTCCATTCGGGACCTTCCTTTGATGGTACTGTGGGGGGCGCGATGGGAATTGGGAACCGATGCCTTATAGTAATATATATTACATAGGGAAGTCATGTGTTAGAGTCAGTGGTATGTTTCCCACTTCAGATGAGACAGGTCATATCTAGGACGAGCCCTCCATCTGGGCAATCTTCATCTAGATCATATGTGTCAAACTCAAGGCCCGGGGGCCAAATGCGGCCCGCCAAGCCATTTTGTGTGGCCCGCGGGGGCTTAATTCTGTTTGTATCAAAGTCTGAATGACTTTTATTTTAAAATATTGCCAGATTATCGTCAAATAAATCTTTTTTTTTTAATGAAGCAAATTAGAATTTTTTTCATTTTTTTTGTCCCACTGCGGGCTGGTACCAAAGGACCTATGGACTGGTACTAGTCCGCGAACCGGGGGTTGGGGACTTCTGATCTATACAGTGTTCCATTTAAAACCGGCCCTTCAACAGGAACTGTATTGCTGATGTGGCCCCTGGTGAAAATGAGTTTGACACCCCTGATCTAGATGGATCATGATGGTTATCAGAGGTTTTGAAATCCTCCCTGGCTGGCTATGTTGAGGGGTGTATGTATTGAGCCCTACACACAATGACCAATAAAGCTGATTCTTTTTTGTCTTCTTCTTGAGATAGAGACCGAAACATAAATACCTTCTGAGACCAAACGGTCTCAGAATAACTGAGAATTTAGCACAGAATTCTGAACATGTTTCCTTCGAATCACCTTTATGAACTCATTCTACTGATGAAATAAACCTTCATTATTCCCTCAGCTACTTTGTGCTCAGCGGCACCTCTTTGTGTTCGCTCTAATGTGACGCTAATCTGTTGCTGCTGCATTAGAATGAGCTTTTATCGCTGCTGATGCAAAGAGTCTTCTTTCAGTTCCCGGGTCACAGAAAGGATTGAGCTCATTAAATGCCACCTAATTCACTCTGCGACGTTTCATTGTTATTCAAATGAGAGCGAAAGCACTCTGGGGGCAGCAGCAGTTATGGTGTCAGTGGTTATGGTGAAGGAACCGCAGAAAATGACTGACGACTAACACTTTTTATTCTCCGTTTTTTTTGGTTGAAAAATCAAAAGTCAAACGTGATGATGTTCAATGGCTGCGTCAGAGCTATGAGCAGCAAATGTCCCCAGAGCGCTGCAAATTTAGACTCAATGTTCTGCTCTTGGTTTTAGCCCAGAAATTCCGGATCCAGGAAATTGTCCATCTCCGTCTTTCTCTTTTGATTTTTAGGCAACCATAAGTTTGCTGAGGCCATGGCAGTGCTGTTCACCTGGATTGACCGTGGTGAAGTCAACCGCCGCTCGGCCAATCAGTTTTATTCTGTGATCCAATTAGCCAATAGCCATGTGCGACGGCTGATGAGCGAGAAAGCGCAGCACGATGAGGCGATGGAACGTGCTAAAGAGGAATTCAAGCATGCCCTGCAGGCCATTTTGGCTCAATGTAAGTACACTTCCTGGTTTGTTTTTTATATGGCACAAGGTATCCATTAGCACCTCATCAATATTTTAGGAAAAAAATGAGTCAGTATCATGTCAACTTGAAGAACTGTTTGTGTTATGAAAGCTAAGTGATGGAGTAAGCTTTAAGTCTGACAGCCCAACAATGGAGTACAAGTTTCTTAAGTTCCTGTAACCAAGGTTGAACATGTGGTGTTAGCTTTTAGTTTTCCTGAGCAAGCATTTTAGCAACAGTGCGGAGAAAACAACTCCCTTTTAACAGGAAGAAAATTTCTAGCAAATCCAGACTGTTGCCGTCTGCATCGCCAAACAAATAAGGAAGAAATGGGGAGAGGGTAGATGGAGGAAAAGAGGGGCGAAAAATGAGAACAGGCATATACATAGTTATGGATCACCATGGGAGTTTCCCTAGCAGTCTAGGCCTATAGCAGCATAACTAAGAGATAGCTGAGTTTTACCAAAGCAAGCCCTATAAGTGGGATTTTTCAAAAAGACTTTAAGGCTTACAACCTTGCTTTTTGAAACCTTTGAAACTTTCCTCTGACCTTTGCTTTCTTTTTCACTTGAAAAGACAAAGAAAATGTCAAAGGCAAGTCAGGTTGATAAAAGTTCAGCAGTCCAGAAACAAGTGCCGGAGAGCCGTAATTAGAGCGAAGACAATTTGGTAAAGTGATAGTGGAGTGAAGCTGTACATACTGTATACTGGCTTGATTGGAGATGGTGAGCAGGTGGAAGCTGTTGCACTGTAGAGGGGGTGTGGCTGTAGGAGTGGCTGAGCAGAATTAGAATTTTCCACTGCAAGGGAACAGACTGTGAGAGTGAATTGATAACTGGTTTGTGTTCTAGTGGATAACTGGAGTCAAATACCAGGTACAGAGGGTTTACAAAGTCCACATCCTACAGCGTTGTTCCATCATTCCAAATTGAGTAGGACCGGTGCGCTGATGCAAGCGGTGGACCCCCTGTATTTGTTTCTGTATATGGGGTTCCTGGTGAGCTATATTTTCACCCAGGTGCCCTTAATTTACCCATATCTATTTTCTGATTTTGACTAAATTTGGACCATTTGGGAGGCAGATTTCCTTTTCCTCAAACTAGTTTTCAGATGTCCTTTAATCAGACTTTTGACCTTCTCCAAGGTATTTGGCAAATATTTTTTCATACCCCAAATTTCTTTCCTTTCTCTGGTTTGTTTTAAAGTATTTTGACCTAACCTTTTATCAGTGGTTACATGGGGGTAACATGGGGATGCTGGTGTACCTTTTTGACACCTTGGTAAATTTGTTTTTACTTATTATTGTCTGTGAGCGAGTGGTTTCAAAAGACCATTTTCTTGTAAGAAATCTGAACGGGTCCTGAAGATAATAATGTAAGTGGTTTCAAAAGACCAGTTTCTTGTAAGAAATTATCTGAACGGGTCCTGAAGATAATAATGGACTTGATTGGGTGTACATGGTTTTGGTCTTTCCCAAAAACTTTTTTTTTCTGTCCTGACCTTCTTCCCCTTCTTTCCTCTTCATCTCACAGTTGAGCAGATCACGGCCGTATTCAGTGCTGCCTCTAAAAAGAAGGCATGGGACCATTTCTCAAAGGCTCAGCGAAAGAACATAGAGATGTGGCGAAAGCAGTGTGAGGTTGGTACCTCCTCCTTCCTGTCTGTTTCCTGTTTTCTCCCACCCTGTCACCCTGCCAGCAGCGGCGGCCAGCTTCGCTCTGGGGAGGCTACCTGGTTGATCCTGCCAGTAGCATATGCTTGTCTCAAAGATTAAGCCATGCCTGTGCCATCACTTCTCCGCAACGCCCTTCTTCCTGTTTCTTTCTTCCTTCCCCTGCCTCCTCCTCCCTGTGCATTTCTACCAAGTCTCCTCCTTTTCTGTCTCCTCCTCTGCTATCCAGTGGAGACAGCTGACAGACTGTTTCTGATGCTCTGATTGCACACTGATCTGAGAGTTGAATGCTGCCATGGCAACCCTGACTTCCAGGCTCACTTCCTTTAATGTATAATTCATTCACAGATGAGTGTGGATGTCTAGGAGCGGTACTTGGAGGCAGACGTAAGGGTTAAGATATCAGTCTGAGCGGGAAAACATGTCAGGAAAGTCACAAAAAAACTAGAGGTGCTGATCTGAAACAACATGTGCCACAGCAGGAGATGAACAGGGAGTTAAAGGCACAGTTCAGGGTTTTTTTTCAGGTGTGGCGGTTTGAGACTAAAGCCCAAAGTTTGTGATTCTGATTTAAACCAATTCCATATTAAATCACTTTGATTTAAATGATTTATTCACTGCAACATCACCATTTAGATTAGCCGACGCCGCTTCACTTGTTCACTTCACGCATCTCCCGCGAGTCTTGCGTATTGTGTTTGCGTTATCTACGTGATTTTCTCTCTATTTTGTGCATTATTCTTCATATTTTCTTTATTATTCTGAATTCTTTCCAGAGGTTTTATTTAGTTTATTTGACTCTAGGTAGATGTCGATTTATGTATATATATATATA